CTGACATTTTTTTTCTGTTTCTATTTTACTAGAAAAGAGAAAATAATCAAAGATAATTTAACAAAAAAAAAAAAAAGAAAGAAAAGAAAAGAGAAAAGAAAGAAAGAAAGAGGAAAGAAAGGAAGGAAGGAAAAGAAAAGAAACACCTCCGGAAAATCTCCCCAGTTGAAAACTGTCCCAGGTCAACACACCCTTGAGATATTTTTTCCCAAGAAGCTCAGTGGCGTCTGCAGAGCGGCTAGCAGCGGCTACCGCTAAACTCAGGCTGGGTCTATATTAAGCAGGGCTGGGCGGCATAGGGTCAGTTTATGAAACTACTATGGGGCTCTCTTTTCGGCAACTTGAGTCAGCTGTGCAAATCCGTCTGACATTTCAGTACAGCTGCTTATGTTCGCAGTGAGTAACAGGCCTCCAGAATCTCTGCAGGAATAAAACCAGTTCCCCTCTGTGTACTCAGATGCCACACAGATTCACGCAGCCCATACCTCTGTATGCACCCCAGGGCGCTCGCTTCTTTCATTTAAATAAGTAAGGCAACTTACAGTATCTCAGAACGGAAATCCAAGTGCAACCAGAGTTCTTTGGAAGTGCGAACTTTGTCTGCAGGTAGAAATCAAGCTCTCAGGGTTTCTTCTTCACCACGATGAGTCTCTGGAAGCGAGGACACCTGCCCTAGCACAGCGGAGGTCTCGTCGTGTTATTCGTCCGCTGTGTAAACTGAACCTTTCCTTGCAAGGTGTCCTCAGTTGCATCTAGATCCTGTGATCTGACAGACGGGGACAACCAGCTCTTGAATTTCTTCTATGAGTGAGGAGTTTAATATTTTAAATACTTTTGTTGTTCTTATTATCTATCAAGCCAGGATACATGAAATGGCTCTAAAGTAACAACAACAACAAAAAAAATGGAACCATGTAAGTAGTGAAAGAAAACATAAGATTTAAAAATATATATATAACCTCAGGAGACTGTATTTGTTCTAGTTACGAATGTACCTTTTCTTTGACAGGAAAATTCCAGTTTAAAGACTCCCTCCAGCTAGACCGTTCCCCACGTGGGTGAAATGACACGTGTTCAAGGCTATTTGATACAGCAGAGGATAAGAAACTGTGTATCACATGCTATTATTTCTGTGACAAAGGGTAAATAAAATTTAATATGTATAAAAATAAAACTTAGACTAGCCAGGTGGCTAGATCCCACATGGGGGACTGCACTGTTTGAGTCCTAAACTCAACGGCTTGAAAAGCGGGCTGGGTACCCACATGCTGTGCAGAAAGTCCTGAGAGGAGACGACATGGTGGGACCATCCCCACTTGGGGGTGATTTCTCACTTTCCCTCTCTCTCTTTGTCTCTCTCTCTGGTGTGTATGTGTACCATATAGCAAATTAAAAATTAAAAAAATAGGGCTGGCAGGTGGCGTGGTGGTTAAGGGCCCTGGACTCCCATATGGCCGACTGTGGTCCAAGTCCTGGACCTGGAGGCTTGCCTTCTCACTTTTCCTCTCGTTCTCACTCTTGCTCTTGCTCTGTCCCTTTTAGATCAAATTAAAATAGACACATGATTAAATAAAGTGAAATAATTCTTTTAAAAATTTTAAAAAATAATTTTATTAACATAGCAGATCCTCAGGAGATATAAAAGAAACAAAAAACCTTACTATCTCCCCCCCCTTTTTTTTAGATTTTTTTTTTTTTTTTTTTTTTTTTTTTTTTTTGCCATAGGGCACATGTGCTCTCCAGAGAGAGAAACAGAGAGACAGAGAGAGGAAAAGTGAGAAATCATCCTCGGGGCGGTGGGGAGAGCACCATACCTCAGTCCCTTCTCCTCCATTCTTTTCTTGAAATTTTGAGCATACATAAACATGCACCCAGCGTGATTTTCAAGCTGCCAGGTCTGAGAATAGAACCATGCAGTTGGCCATGTGGCCTCGCCATCTCCTGGCCCCAACCTTGACTATTTTTTTTTTTTTTAGAGGTTTTTCGCTATAGGGCACGTGTGCTCGCCAGACAGACAGAGAGAGACAGAGAGACAGAACGTGAGAAATCACCCCCCAGGGGGGATGGTCACGCCGCAATCCCTTTTCCTCTATTCTCCTCTCGGGATCTTGGGCACGCACGCACACGCTCCCGGCGTGAGTTTTAAGCCACTGGGTCTGGGACGTGAACCGCGGTCGACTACATGGGAGTCCAGCGACATAGCCATTACGCTAACTGCTGGTTCCCCAACCTTGACTATTTTTAAGAGAAATAAATTAGGAGAACAAACTGGGAAAGAGACTTTGTTATCTCATACCTGTTTTATATTTTTCAAACATTGAACTTTATGTACATTTATTCAGAAATATACATTAATTGTGCAAAACTAAAGCTAACATAGAGAGGAGGAAAAGAATATAAAAATTTCCCTATCTTACTATTAAGAGCTGCCACTATTTTCTTAACAGTATTTTTTTAGAATTATTTATTTAAAGAATTATTTATTTCCATTTATTATTACTGTTTTTCAATTTGACTAGAGAGAGAGACACAGAGAGAGAGAAAGTGAGAGAGCAAGCTGCCAGGTACAGGACTCAATCCACGGTCGGCCATGTGTTAATCCAGTGCCTTTAACCACATACTACCTGTGGCCCCATTTTATTTATTTTAAAAATTTGTTATTACCTTTTAATTTGATGAGAGAGAACAAGAGAAAGTAAGAGAGTAAGCTGCTAGGTCCAGGACTTGAACTGTGGTCAGCCCTGTGGGAGTCCAGTGTTCAACCCCCACACCACCTGCCGGCCCCAAGAGCTACTTAAAAAAGGACCAGAATAATAAATCAAAATGTTGAGAACTATGATTATTAATGTTTGTTTTATTTTTCTGGTTCTTTTTTTTTTTTTTTTTTTTTGCCTATAAACTCCATAGTCTTTTGTCACCTATTTTTGTTTCATTTTGTTTTCCAGTTTATTTATTTATTCAGCAAGAGAAAGAGAGAAGGAGGCATCCCCGACAGGTTTTCACACCACGGTCTGCTCCCAGTTTCAGTCATCCTGGATCATGGGCATGTGTGTGCATCTCTGGAGTGCTCGGAGATCCAGGATACAAACCCTGGACCTTTCCCATGTGGGTCCTGTTGGGCTACTTCTGCACCACCACTCGGCCCATGTCCTCTGTTTTACTACCTAACACAATCGGGAGGTATATAGGGATACACCATAAATTATATAACCTGTCCCTAATTGATATTGATGCTGTTTTTAATTCGCACAAGCTCAAGTTCTTCAGTAACATCCCTGCAGCTAACTATTTGTACACATGCAAGATTATTCTATTCCCTTAACATAAATTGTTAGGGTAAATTGAGTATACTCCAAAAACTGAAATTCCTGGGTGGAAGAATATGAAAAAAAATTATTTTGATAATGCAGAGTAGGTAAGATACTGTATCTGTTGCCCAGGCTGGCTTCAAACTCCTGATCCTCCTGCTTCAGCTTCCAAAGTAGCTCGGATTACAGGTGTACCACCATGCCCAGTGAATGTGGAAGGTTTCTATCTTTTTTTTTTTAAAAAGGATTATTTAATTTTATTTATTATTATTATTATTTTAAAGAATTATTTTGTTTAGTTTTATTCATTATTATTATTAATTTGACCAGAGAGACACAGAGAAAGAGAACGAACATGAGAAAGTTCTCTGCCAGGTCCAGGACTTGAACTGTGGTCAGCAAAGTTGGGAGTCCAATACCCCAACCACCATGCTACCTGCCAGCCCTTTACTGTTTTTAATTTGACCAGAGAGAGAGAAAAAGGGAAAGTGAGAAAACAAGGCACCAGGTCCAGGACTCAAACCATGGCTGGCCATGTGGGAGTCCAGTACCTTAACCATCATGCCACCTGCCAGCCCCAGTGTGGGACGTTTTAAATGGGAATTCTAATGTTTTCTTCCTGCATCAGTGGTTTACCAACTGGTATACCAAGATTGAGAGGCATTTTCTATGTACATCTAAATTATTGTCCGGAAAGATACTACCAATTTACCTGGATGAGTTTCCTTTTTCTTTTTTTTTTTAATTTGCCAGAGGATGTGTGGGCTTGAGAGAGAGAGAGCATGCGCGTGCACGAGAGAGAGAGAGAGAAAGAGAGAGAGAGAGAGAGAGGGAGGAAGAAAACACTCCTCATGGGGACATATATGCACCTGGTGTATTTTTTAGGCCACCAGGTCTGAGATTCAAATTGTGGATCAGCAGGTGAATTCAGCTTGCTTAGCATGGGGCTGTGGGCTGGACCCTGAATGACAGTTTCTAAAGTAAATATTATCACACAGGTACACAGTGGCAACTCACCCCGGTCTCCTACCTGTCCACTCACCCTTTAGTCTCGGTAAAAGGGAACAGTTCAACCTCTGTGGGCACTGACGTGTAGACCTCATTTAATAGACCTAGTTCATAAACCATGGTTTAAAGAGGTAGACTGGAGGGCTGACTCCGTAACCTAGTGGTGAAGGGAGCCAGATACTATAGGGCTGACTGTGGTTCAAATCCCAGCCTATCTGGCTTCAAAAACAGGCTGGGATGTCAGATGTGTGTACATGGGTATCCCAAATCCCAATGGGATAGAGAAGTGGAGGAGGGACCAGCAGTTAGCGTAATGGCTATGTTGCTAGACTCCCATGTAGTCGACCACGGTTCGAGTCCTGGACCCGGTGACTTAAAACTCATGCCGGGCGCGTGTGTGTGAGTGCCCAAGATCCTGAGAGGAGAATGGAGGAGAAGGGATTGTAGCATGGTCATCCACCCTGGGGGGTGATTTCTCGCTTTCTGTCTCTTTGTCTCTGTCTTTCTGGCACGCCCGATAGCAAAAAAGAAGTGGAGGAAAAGGGATTACTGCATGACCAAGCCCCATTACAGGGTGAGGCTTTCTCCCTCACAGACATGCTCTCTCTCTCTCTCTCTCTCTCTCTCTCTCTCTCTCTCATGAGCGCACTCTCTGACAATTACAAATGTTTTAAAAATTAAAAAATAGGGGCCAGCAGGTGGCCTAGTGGTTATGGTGTTGGACTCCCACATGGACCACTGTGATTCCAGTCCTGGATCCAGTGGACTGAAACTCATGCTGGGTGCATATGTGTGTGTGCCCCAAATTCCAGGAGAAGAATGGAGGAGAAGAGATTGCAGTGTGGCCATAACCCCAGGAGGGGGGGTGGGGTGGTTTTCTCACTTTCTTCTCATTGTCTCTCTCTTTCCTCACCATCTCCTTCTGTTCCGGTGAGCACACAAACCCTATGGCAAAAACCTTTAAAAAGAGAAACTAGAAGAGAGACTCAAGCAAAAGACATTTTATACCTCAGGAGGTTTGGAAAATGTTATATCTGCTTTTGTGGTTCAGACATTTATCAAGCCCATTAGCTTTCAGAGACTTGAGATATATCAAAGAAACTCATTTGTCTAACCCAATATTCTGTAACTTTATTCAGGTAATTCAGGCTTTTTCCTTTCAAAACTACTTGCAGGGGCCAGCAGATGGCATGGTGGTTAAGGCACTGAACTCCCACATGACTGACTACAGTTCAAGCCCCGGACCCAGCAGTTTGAAAATCACGCTGGGCACATTTGCATACCCAAATATCAACATAAGAATGGGGGAGAAGGGATTGTGGCATGCCCATCTTCCCTGGAGGGTGATTTCTCACTCTACCCCACCTCCCCCAGAGAGCACACATACTCTATGGCAAAAATGTTAAAAAAAAAACAAACAAAACAACTCTCCACAAATACCTTAGGCAAGTAACTTCCCAATAATTCATGCTTTGGGAAATAATGAACTAAATACAAAAGAGGAAAATCTGTTGTTGGCTTGCCTAGAGGTAAGCTTCAGTTCCACTCATTGAGTGACTTAGCCCATATCTGATAACAATAACTACTATTATCTACTATCTGGAATTATTGAGAATTTATATTCATATATAGCATACATATGACATAGTGATATATATCTGTATATGCTATCTATATGATATATGATGTAAAACATATATCATATATATGTGTATATCATGTATATGCTATATATGTAATATAAATATACACATACATATATACATTTGTGTGTGTATGGAGTAAGACAATACATGGCAGAGTGAAAACTCTCAATAAGTGTTAACTATTAGCCTCATTTTTCTTGGCTATTCATTTTGGGTTGTCAAAAAAAGTTACATTGCATTTTTGCATAGAAAAAAATACGTCATGACTTTTCTGACAACCCATTAAAGACATCTAAAGAAAAAAGCAAAGGCAATTATAAAATGCAGTTCATTCTGTAAAACCCACTTTCCTGATACAAACCATTATCAATAAACCAAATGGCTTTTAGCAATCTTGTTGCCCTTACAGAAAGCACCTGAGAGATTTTTAGATGGGATCGTGCATAACCAAACTACTAAACCACCGTTCGCATGTAAACATGAAGCTGTCCTAAGAAAATGATCTGAAATGTTGCTTGTGAGCTCTCAGGTGCAAATTTTGTTCTGATGAATTCCACTTGTTTTGCTGTGGCCAAATGCTTTTGATGATCAAGCTGATTTAGGAATTTCTGGAAGAGCGCTCCTTCATCTGACCTGCGTCTTGCTGAATTAGTGTAGGAAGTGAATAAATCTCTCCCATCTGCTTCCTCTGTGCATTTTATCCGCATGCTGACAGGGAGGGTTTTGCTGCTGTAATTAGCCTCATTTGACACAGAGATGATTTAGTTGCGCTTTCTCTTAATGATGTTCCACGACTGCTGCCTCAGCAGCTTCTCGCTTCAGCCCGCTACCCAAAGGAAGGAACTAGCCATAGAATAATCCACAGAATGTTAGAGGCGGAGAGGGCGCCACAGACCCCCTGGCTTTGTATCAGTCTCTAGGTGAGCTTATTAAATGTATTGACCCCACCCAGAAGCTACTGAACCAGAATGATCAGGTTTGGGTCCAGAAATATGTATTTGTTTAAAGGTCTCTAGATGATTCTGTGAGGGTTTTTGTTTGTTTGAGAGTTTTGCTATCAGGAGTATGTGTTTGCTATGCTACAGAGACAGATTGAGAAAGACAGAAAGTGAGAAATCATCCCTCAAGGGGGATGGCCACACCGCAATCCCTTCTCCCCATTCCCCTTTTGAGATCTTGGGCACACCACACCTGTGCTTGGCGTGAGTTTCAAGCTGCCAGGTCCAGGACTTGAACTATGCTCAACTACATTGGAGTGCAGTGATACAACCATTATACCATCTGCTGGTCCCAAGATTTTTTTTTTTTTCAATTTGCCAGATGGTAAGTGCATTTGGTGGAGAGAGAGAGAAAGAGAGAGAGAGAGAGAGAGAGAGCAAGAGCCAAAGTACCCTCTAAGAGGGACGGTCACACAATTCCTTCTCATCTACTCTCTTCTCAGGACCCTGGGCACACATGCACCCATGTGCTTTCCCAATCAAACCAAACACTTGGCCATGCGGGATCCAGATGTCTTACCGTGACTCCACTAGCTGGCCTTCCAGGTGATTCCGATGTGTAAATAAAGTATGAAAATCAGACAGAGAAGCAGGATCCTGACTGGGTCTCATGAACCACCTCCATCCTCAGCCAGCCCCGAATGATGGGACGCATGGGCCCGGTGTATCCAGAGAGTCTCCAGATGTAAACCGGAACTCTGCCCACGTTGGCCAGCCTCACAGGGCATCACATCTGACCACTGTGACATTGTCCAGCCCCATCACATTTTATATACACTGTGGTGACACTCTGCTAAGAGAATAATATTAGCTATTATTTCTACCTTTCTGTAGGAAAAAAAGAACATGTATACGTATTTCCATAAAATAGGGAGTAGCAGGTGGCGTGGTGGTTAAGAGATCTGGACTCCCACATGGCTGATCGTGGTTCGAGTCCTGGACCTGGCGGCTTTCTTTCTTATTTTCCCTGTCTCTCTCTGGTCAAGTTATAAATACATACATACATAAAGTTAAATAATAAAAAAAAAAGAGAAGAAAGAAAATGCATGAAATAGCCTTGGAAGAATGCACAAGAAATGGGTAACATTGGTTACCTGGAATAAGGGGAAGTGTGAGGCTGCAGGACCAGGTTTCAGAGAAAGTTTCCACCAAAACCTCTTTGTACAATATTTTGAAAAAAACAATGACGGTGCCTTTTCCGTTGTACAAGCCTACAGATTTCCTTTTTAGGTTCATTTTGAATTAGGATTTTTGTTTTTGTTTTTTGTTTTTGACTTGCCGCTGAAAGGAATCCTACTTCTTTCTTCCACTTACATTCCTTCAGTGATTTCCTAAGGCCTAAGGATAAATCCAGACTTCCTGACATATTCTGTCAACATGGAACTCTGCTTCCATTCCCAGCTGTTTCTCTTTAGTCCCCATCTCACATTTTCTGTCTCAAGCACAGCCAATCTGAGGACCCCACAGGGTGAAGCTCTTTGTCATGCCCAAGTTTTGTGAAAATTGTCCCTTCTAGATGGACCAACCTTCTGTGCTTGTTCTCATTGGTCACATGGTCGGAAGTCACCTCCTCCAGGCAGCACTCCCTGGGCCTTGAAAACTGGGTTTGGTTTCTCTGATGTCCTTGCCTAGAACTGAACACTTGCCCTACGGTATTGTGATTGCCAGTTCAAGACCTGTCTTTCCCTGTGGCTTGTAACTCTGTCAGTACAAGCATGGCTTTGTCACTGCCCCAGTGATAGTCCGAGCACAGGACTTGATAACAGCAGATTTTTAATTTTTTTTTTTTTTTTGAGAGAGATTTTCACTATAGGGTACATCTGCTCACCAGAGAGACAGAGAGAAATAATGTGAGAAATCATCCCAGGGGGGTGGAGGGGGCGATGGTGTAGCCATGCCACAATCCCTTCTCCATTCTCCTCTCAGAATTTTGGGCACACACACACCTGGCATGAGTTTCAAGCCACCAGGCCCAGGACTTGAACATGGGAGTCCAGTGCCTTAACCACTGCCCTACTGGTTGGCCCTGATTTCTGAATTCTTTAGCTGTGAGAAACATTCAAATCTTTGTGCAAAAACAGCAGGCATTTCAAAACATCCAGAATCTGCTCCCTTTGGTCCTCGTCTCTGAAAACCTGAAACAACCTGGAGTCGATAAGTCTCTCAAAAACAAGATCTGAGAATCAGAGAGTCTGGATCCATATTCTGGTGGTACCCTTGGCTGAAAAAACGAGGAACTGTGTTTTCCCCTCTGTGCCTCGTCTGTTCTGTGTAAACAACCGAGAGGCATTTAATTCAGTGGTTCAACATGGAGGCTTGGGATTCAGGATGTCCAGCTCAAATACTGACTCTACTCTGTCCATACCACGTCATTTGGAACAAGTCAATCCCTCTCCCCTGTTATTTTATTTGTAAAAATTAAATGATAAACCTATCTACTTTATAGGATTAAAAAAAAAAACTATGGGCCGGGACA